TTTATGCTAAATATTTGAATTAAATATGGAATAACAGTAATTCTGTATGAAAATCTTACTTCAAAAAAAAGTTCTCCTGAAAGGTTGTAGACATTCCAAAGAACCTGCGCCACTTCCAAATTGTAAACCTGCATATTGAACTTGTCCTTTGTGGCTTTTCTTTTAGCTCCTGTTAAAAAATAAAAGATACATTGTATGTACATTGTGTGTATGAAGCAATAAATATAATTTTAAGCAACAGTTTATATTATCTTGCTTGTACTGAAGTCTTACATAGTCTTTGTAATGTTCATTAAGCTGTTAAGGGAAATTTAATTTACTGTTTTGCAAATACATACATACACTGAATTTACTAGAAAAAAAAATCTCCATATTCAAATGGTGCTTATATTAGTGTTATTGTAACTTGTTTGTGTGCCTCGGAAACAAGGTATTGAGTCATGCTTATTGCAATAGTTGTTGTTGGTTTAAGTCTGTGAAATTTCTTTTTCATAACGTGTATTTAATGTAGGCAGTTAGTTGTTGTGTTTCAATTGTGTTGAGAAAAATTTAACATTTGTTTGTCAAGGCTTTAAAGTGACTATATGGCATTGGTTTTCTCAAGTTTTAAAAGCCGTACACTGACCTATAATTTCTTTTATCCAAGTCATTTAAATTCTGGTGGATAGCTGTCTCATACACCTTATTGCTATTTCAGTATTTGGAAATCTGTCCTGCTTGAACTTTTTACATCAGCATACGTCATACAATAATACACCTTATCGCTATTCCCGCTTGACCCGAGAATCTATCCTGCTTGAACTTTTGACGTCAAACAACAATCACTTTTCCATTGTGGCATCAGATATTTTTTATGATGTCAAAATTTTAAGGGAACTTGTGACAGTTGTGTGATGTCCAGTAATGGTGGACAAATAGCGATAAGGTGTATTACTTTTAATTGTGGTGTCAAATATTTTCTAATATGACGTCAACATTTTACGGGAACTTTTGTGATGTCCATGGCCAGTAATGGCGGACAAATAGCGATAAGGTGTATTGGCAATCAAACACACAAGCCACATATCCTTATAATTTTTTTATATCAATGAACAAATTCATAATTGGTGTACGTAGTTGCTTGAACAGTGGCGGATTTAGGGGCCCCGACCCCCTTATGGACTACTTATAAGATAAATGTATAGACTATTTACAAGTATCACTCCAAACGTTTGCTTGCCTTGGGCAGGGGCCCCCTTTTTTCAAAACCTTGATCCGCACCTCCAGAAACAGATGTAATTTGGTTCCGATTATGATTGAACACACACAATGAATGCACAAGTTTCATCTTAACAGATTAATCATTCTTACCAAGTGAGTATATATCGCGTAATAAACAATTTTCTTGGCTCTCTTTGTTGATATCCTGTCTTCGTTTCGAAATTCAAATTTCAAAATCATTTCCGGTGATAAAACAAAAGTCGATTCCGGAAAAGGTAGGTTTTCCGTAAGGCATATAAACGATACGAAAATTGAACTTAGTACAGTTACAGTTTTCATTTCTTAATTTCTTAAATATACACGAACGAAATGAATAAACATTAAAGAAAGGTGATTGTTAATTAATACATTATTGCTTAATTTAATGTTGACTCTTTTGAATTTTAATATAAGAAGGAATAAAATCTGACTTCAAGGATCTTCAAGATATCAAGTAAGGATTTCAACCATAGTATCTTGCTTGTCATGATATTGATGACATGTAGTACTATATCTTATCCTGAAAAAAACGAGCTAATTCCACAAAACGTTGTTTGTGGGGTTTTGAATAAAGTTTAAATAAAATGTTATTTTTATATCCGTAAAATGTTGAATAAAATATCAGTAAGACTATTAAATAATGTGTATGTCAAAATATTTTATAGAAAACATTTAGCTGATATTTTTCAGATGTTTTATGTAAAACATTTTAATTTTACGTTATAAAACATTTTATGCAAATAGCAAAACTATATTTTCTGTAAAACATTTTTTTGCAGAATGTTTTTTGGATATTTTGAAAATATTTACTTTAAATGTTGTTAAAATATAAAATACCAATTGAAGAAAATATTATTTTTTTATATTATAAAATATCTACGGGATATTTTAGAACAATGTTTGAGAACATGAATAAAAGATATTAGCAAATAATATTTTGTTAATGTTGTAAACACATTTTACTTAAATGTTAGAAATAAAACATTTCAAAAACAATAAAATAAACATTTTTTTTATGTTTAAATGATATCTTATTGAAATATTTTGTGAGAGACGTCCATATGACATTTAAAAAATGTTTTTAAAATGTTGTGTGTTTGCTGGGTGTAAACACGGCCGTTAATGTTAGTTCCTTGTGATTAACTTTAAGTTTTGGACACACGAAATTTTAAATAGTGTTATTTTCATTTATAAGCACTGGGGCGATACATTTGCTGGCGGACTGTCAATCCCCGAGGGTATCATCAGCTCAATAGTCATTGCTTCGGTACTGAATTGAGTTATAATATACTTTTCTAAAATACCCCGTGAATACTTTAAGAACATAAGGTCCAAACTTCATCAGGGGTTACATGTTCATAGCAATATATGTTACTATAGAACGCTTTAAAGAAGGAGTTAGGATTATTTAGATAAAAACAATTATCTACGTTGATAATCTAAACCTCTTTTAAGTTGTCAAAATATACAAATGCAATTTTTAATATTCTACAATAAAAAGGGTTAATTTACTATATAGTCATAAACGCTTTTGATGCTATATGCAAAAAGATGCGCGAATATATATTATATATCATTTTCAGATTGATTGTAAAGAAACTAGCATAAAACATCAGTTAGTCTATCTTCGTATCCATTGTATGTCTAAAATACGATAATACACGAATTGAAGTATAATCCACCAAATTACGATTAGTCTTGAATGAGAAAAGTTAAAATTGAAATGTAGGTATGCACCAATTTTGAAAAATCTCAAGCACATTTTTTATTGTCTAGTTTTTATTTCATCTGATACAATGGTTAAAAAAAGAAAATATGTCGCTTTGCTTCTGAAACTTAAATGAGTAAATACACCTAATTACAATGTTACCCGGAAATTAATATTGCTGTCAAAATGTATGAATTTTTTCTAAGGCATTCAATATTTATCAAACGAAAAAGAAACACATTATCCACAAACACGTATGCAACAATGTTATTCATTCCCTCCCCTGAAACAACATTTCAAGACACACATAAATACAAGTAAATATTCTTTCATTCCCAAAACCGTTTATTTAGTGATTTTAAATATAAATCTGGATGCAATTTATTCAATACTGATCAGAAATACACCATTCAGTGAGTAGGTCAGCTTTATCTTAAAATTTAGCGGAAGAATTATTTTGTACACCATTGGGAAAATCAATAATAACCATAAAAAAAATCAATAAAATCATTAAAAAATGTTTTCTTTATATTCAAAGTACGTTGAAGTTCAGATACTAATCTTTGTCTAAAAAACTGGTGAGGCCCCAGAGTCCATCGCTTTAGGGAGCTACCATTTATTTTTAGGGGGGGTGGGATGAAAATTTTTTTCCTGCATTTGTTTTTAGTTGTAATCTCAGTCCTGCCTTTTTATTTTTCACTCTATTCGGTCCTGCCATTTTTTAATTAGTTTATCCTGACTTTTTTTACATAAATTGTCATCCTTCCCCGTATTTTTTTTTTTTCTGCCAAGTTGCTCGTCATGCCTTTTTTTTTACTCAAAACCCCTGTCCTGCCTTTTTTTCACCCTAGCCCCCCATAAAAATCAAATGGGAGCTCCCTTGGTTTATTGAAGGAACAGACAGCATGTAGAGATTTCTTACATATAATGGTACTATGGAAAGCCGTTATAATGTCAGGAAATTATCACACAGAGACTTCATATACCTAAAACAGCCAGAATATTTAGAAAATTGTATTTTTTTTATCTAGTTTCATACTCATTTCAGTACGGATGACACGTGTTCCCTAAATATGTTAAGGTATGTTCTATGACGAAAGGCTGCTGAAACAAATACATTAAAGTTTTATGTGATCATCAGAGCATAAAAGAATCACAATACAAAGACAAAGAATCAGATCTTTCCGTATGACATTTACAATTTAAGTTTTATTACAACTCATTGCCTAAAACTTTTGCAATCTAAATTGTAATTCAACAATTGCCTAAGACATTTTCAATCTAAGTTTTAATACAACTACAATAATGCATGGAAAATAAATAGAAAAACTGTAGCAAGATAATAACGCAAAGCATATTATAATTGTTGAAATCACGGTTTCTCAACAGTCGTACCGACCCAGTATTATTTAGAAAAAGATGCATAACAGGATTTTTGGTGTACACGACACACTTGCATATTTACGTATGCAATAGTTAAGGTGCCGTAATAGCAAAATATTATCATTTGTAATCTATATAAGACTGCTTTGAGCCCTATCATTTTACAGACTAATTTTAACTTTATGAGGACGAGGTGAAGCTCTTCTCACTCCTTCAACGGCTTATATAAATTCTTTAAATGTTTAACAAAGCCTGGAATTCAGTGGTTGTCGTGTGTTGCTGTGTAACATATTTGTTTTTCGTTCATTATTTTGTACATAAAATAAGCCGTTAGTTTTGCTCGTTTTAATTGTTTTACATTTTTCATTTCAGGGCCTTTTATAGCTGACTATGATGTTTGGGCTTTGCTCATTGTTGAAGGCCGTACGGTGACATATAGTTGTTAATTTCTGTGTCATTTGGTCTCTTGCGGAAAGTTGTCTCATTGGCAATCATACCACATCTTCTTTTTATATTAGATATTTTTTCGATAAGATGTCAAATAAACGATATTCCTGAAATATAGTCATTAAACCTATACAAAATATACTGTATCAAAGCACATTAAAGAAAATCCAAAAACAATAACTTTGTGATGAAACGTTATTTTATCAATCCAAATTTTTTTTCTTTAGTATAACATAGATTCTTCTACATTTGATTTCATCTTAACAAGTTCAGTTTCATGTGCTGCTTGATTTGCTTTGTCTTGCATCAATCTCCTGTTGTGGTATTTCCATTTAAAACATTCACATATAAGAAAACTAGAAGCGATGAAAACACCAATGGCTATAACGTAAAATGAACTATGTATATCAATGAGAGTTATTGGTGTAGATTCTTTGCGTGCAATATTGTTGCAAATTCCATGTTTCGGCCAGTGTTTTAACTTCCACAACTGAAATAGTCCATTCCCAAAAATGGCCGTCATTCTAAAATTGAAATATGTGGAGTTCATTACTTGAGACAGTTATAAAGATTTAACATATTTACCTGAACTGTAACTTATTGTAACGGGAGGTTACGGTCATTTTGTGCAACGTTGGTCTAATTATTTCCAAAAAAGTAAAGACAACGTAATTTATAATCTGTGCATGTAAATATTCTTCTACATGCAAATGGGAAGACAATCATGTAAATATACATGGAGGGTTATAAGTAAAACACAGTGATGTTATCGTTGCTAAACTTTTCCGTAAAAGAAGCGTTTTAAACAATGAATGTTATACCATCTCATATAGTCATTGCGTTTTTTGTCCTTCTGGGACCTCGAATCCATAACATGAAATGCGTTGATCTTAAAGCTACAGATTCAAATCGTACAACAATCTAAACTTCTTGTAACAATGAATAATTATTCAAAGTAGCATAATTAAATTTTAAGCTGCAAGTGTGTACGATACAACAAGGACGTATGATCATGAATACTAAACTTAAGTGTGTGACATTTACCCGCAAGCTACATATCATAATATACTCTTCTAACGATTTTTGAATTGTTGTGGATAAACATACATACAATATTTATAATTCTGAAACAATTTATAGAGCGGATACGACTTGTGCATACCATAATCGAATCCAGAATGCTGAACTTAGTTTGGTTCCTTTATCTTCATATCAAAAATTTTAGATGTGATTGTTTTTGGGTAGGGAAATATAGTCACTAGGACGTCTTGACTTACATCTTGAAATTGATAATGAGGGTCGGTTAAAAACAAAACATTATGACAAATAGATGATTTCAGGTTCGCAATTGTGAACTTTTCATTTCTATGTAGCAACATTCCAGCAGCGCCTGCATACGGAAAATATATCTTACAGTTAATAGATATTCCAGGGCTTGTATTACTATCATGATTTCCTTGACAGAGGGTTTCTGCTCACAAGAAAGCTATCAAACCAAGAGTTCCAAGTTGTGAAGTTGAAATCCCTTAGTAAATTGTACAGAAGCCATCACGAGTTAGTTGACCGTTATGTGACCCACGAAATTAGATTTATTACCGGGTTTGTGTTAACATGAGCAACACGACGAATCCACATGTTGAGCAGGATCTGCTTACCCTTCCGGAGCACTTGAGATCACCCCCAGTTTTTGGTGGGGTTCGTGTTTCTCAGTCTTTAGTTTTCTGTGTTGTGTTTTGTGAACTATTGTTTGTCGGTTTGTCTTTTTTTCTTTTTTAGTCATTGCGTTGTCAGTTTTTTTTGACTTATGAGTTGAATGTCCTTTTGGTATCTTTTGCCTCTCTTCTTCAACAATTTAAATCCTTACTGAGAGGCTATGTGGTTGTCCATGGTGTATAAGAACGGAGGCTTCCATAGTTGAAATGAAGATGTTAATTTACCAGATTGCCAATTGTAAAGGGGGAGAGAAAGAGAAAAAGTAACTTTCTCTTAGCAGTCAATTCTCGATACAAACAAACTCGGTAACTTATAATTGTTTTTACCAAAATCTAAAGACGATAAATAAGTAATTTACACATTCAAGTAAAAAATGCAGAGACTAAAGTTAAAAAATTTCAGCGGAAGTAAATGAGCATTTACTACCATTTAGCTATAGACAATATGAAAAAATAAAAATACCAGGCTGATAGTCTTGTACGTTAGACTCGTGTTTCGTGAACAAAAGACTCATAAGTGACGCTCGAATCAAAAGATAAAAGGGAATCAAAATCAAGTTCATAGTTGAAGAGCATTCAGGTCCAATTATTCCGAAAAGTTTTGCCAAATACAGCTACGGTAATTTATTTCTTGCGTTGAAAGTCTTTAGTATTTCAAATGCCATTTATAGTATATATACACATTGACCCATTTTTATTTTACAACACCAATAACAATATAGCATTATCTGTAGCAACAACAACATCATCAACAAAAAATACTGCGTTCTCCTTTTCAATGAAGGAGATGTTTAAAAATCAATTAATCCATTATATTTTACAATTCATTAGGTTTATTATAGGCGATGCGATTTCATTATTGCCCATCAATATTTTCAATATGATATCGTCTTTATTGTATCGATCAAAAAGTAATTGTCTTACTCTTTTCATTAGAAATACTTTCAGAAATGTAAATAAGAACTTTTCCCCACCGTGTTTCTGATGATTGTTATAGCCATATAAAACTTCAAATCAAAACAAAGAGTTAAATATGTTTTATATACTTGAATGGCCACGTTGTACTATAAAAAAAATTATAGCTGAACTTTCTTGTCAAAAAAAATCCTTTATGTAATCAAAATCTTAATAAATGTATTTCTTTTGAAGTATTGTCTTCCCGTATACTAATTTGACGATCTTTCTCGTATTCAGTAACCTTAACTACGAGACTTCTCGTTAGAACTTCGACCTACAAAGCGCAAGTGCGAGGGGAAAACCGTGATGAGAAAATGTAAATAAACGTGTGCTGGAAGGTAAATAGTAATAATTGAACATGAAAGAAAAAATTTGATACAACAATTCATTAAACAACTGCGAAGTTAAAGTTTAATTAACTAATGGGAACACGTGGAACATAAAAACAAAAACAATACATGGCTCTATTAATTCAATTCTTTTTCAGGTGCTCAACGTGTTGATTGTATAAATGTCACGATCCGGTAAACTTCAGCATCAAACTCGAAAGTTAATAAGCTTGCGTTGAACAATCACCGAATAAAATAGTATTTGTCGATAATACGTTATAGATTCGTAATAAATATAAAAAACGTACTTACAGGATTAGTCTAGTATATATGCATATATGTATGCATTGGTTCAATAATTTCGATAACATTAAGATTACAAGAAACTCGTTTCATATGACATTATTTAGTGATAAATTGATCTTGATATTTTTTCAACATAAAAAAAAAAACACTTTATCTATTTTCGTGCGTCCGAAGTGTTTTTTTTTTATTAACCGTCACCAGGAACAGTCAAACCATAACATTTAAAAGCCATTGATATATAAGTCCGTAGAAACGTTAGGAGCTGTATGAACAAAAGGGACTTAAAAAGAAATCTAAAGTTCATCTACAGTCATTTTTGGCTGGGACAGTTGGAACCTAAAAAATAAAATTTATCAGATGGGAATTCTATAAATTGTTTTATAAATTATGAAAGTATCGACTAACTGACTACTAGATTATTAAATAGAAAATGAATTATCCAACAGAATTTTTTCCCTGATAACTGACAATTGTTTATTTTAACTGACGATATTGTTGCATTTCATAACACTTATACGTTAAAATTATCAGAAATAAGAATTTCGAACTGCATCTCAAAAATTTACTTACTCATCAGAAAAAATCTTTGTGAATGGAGATTTGTTAGGAAGTGCTATTGCGTATTGCATTGAAACAATATCCGATAAAGCCATCGTCAGATGACAATTATTAACCATAGTTAATTCAATGTGAGTTTTGTCACCAACATATGCATAATCTCCCTCCATTACAAGTCGTACTTGAACATCTCCGTTTGCACTCAGTATACTTGGTTTCGTTTTATTATAGGAAACCACTCCCTTCCAAAACTTAACATAATCTGGTCGAGTGGATGCCTGGTAATATAAAATATTTAAAACAAAATTACCTGAACTGTCGGAACATGAAAATAAGTATTTACTCTGATTTTAGCAATTAAAAAGTCTGAACTAGTCCACACTAATTACATAAATGAATAATATAGTATGCTAGTTTTTTTAATATCTGTTTTACCTTTACAATATATGGTCTTGTTAGGCTCACGTGATTTGCGCGCACGTAAAATCTTCCACATTATTTGCCTATACAAAAATTTCATCACAGATATCAGGCCTATTATTTCTTACTCCAAATGAGCGTTTCGTCGATACGAGGCTCATTTGTGGCACTCCAATAAAATAAGTTGAAAAGCCAAAATCAAAAACAGAGTTAATGAGCAATGAAAACTAGAAATTCAGAAAAGTTGTGAAAAATAAGGATAAGACTATTGTCAGGAACAAGAAAGATTATCTAAAATATTAATCCCCTTTAACATAATGTAATTTTTACCTTGAAAATCGTTTCAAAGACAGTTCCTTCTTGTGTTCCCCATCTATAATTGCCTTGTTCTACAAGTCCGGCAATATCAGAGAAAGGCAGCTTTTCTTTGGTTACAGTAAGGAAGGCCACGAGGTTACCGGTGTATGTAGCCATCATAATTATGCAAAATATCCACCAAGAGCTCAATAACGTACGACCTGAAGACGAACCCGCCATATGTTCACCACCTATGTTTAGAAAATAGCAGAATAACAATCCATCTTATATAACATTAACGGTACAATTTTTACTGCACCAGATGCCTATTTTGACAATGAATGTAACTTTAGTGATGCACGAGGCCAACATAATCAAAAATCCAAATTTAATTCAAAACGTAGAGCTAAAAAAAATCAAAAGGAACAAAAGTATAATCAAATACAAGTAAGGAATCAGAGCTTTGCAATAGGGAAATATATAAGACTCATAAGCATATTTTAAATAATCAATTGTCTGATAACGTTCTTTTGTAAAAAACAAACAAATACATGTATTTCATATATTTAAATCACAATCATAAAGAAAAGCAACTGTAGACAAGAACAAACTTTTTATTTGTAAGTGTTCTTACAATTTACAAGCAATTTATAAACTCATATATATATATATGTAAATCACAGCAAGTATCATATCAATATAATATTTTATCTCGTCAAATCTGATTACATGTTTATAGAAGTTTAAACATTTCATAGATACCAGTGATACCTTTCTATTTTTCCCGATATTGACACTCATGAACGACTTAAAATCTATGACAAACGTATTGACTTTTGAATTGTCAACTTCCAATTTCTCAGCAGTAATACACCTTCAGCTCCTTCGCAGGTCGTTTACATATCGCTCGTGCATGTTCACGCTATACGGATATCATTAGCAAGGTTTATTTGTTATGCAAAAACTGTTCAAATATAGTTAAGATGACAAACGACTGAAACCGACGTAAGTTCCCGAATTGGTTACAATGTCCAAACTCACTATCGACATGCTTTAAAAGTATTATATCTTCCAATCCCAGTGTAGACGTCTGATCCGTAATTTTACCAATTATGTCCGAATCCCGATTGACTTTTTGACTGAGTGTTGATTCGAATTGCGGGTGATGCACGCAAAGCAGGCGACGCTTATCATGTCAACGCACCCGTTCTCATTCCTTTTGGAGTTCATACGATTTTTTTCGATTTGTTTGTTTCACGTTGATTTGTCTCTTCCTAATCGATTTACGAGATTTGAAGATCAGTAAACTATTGTCGCCTTGCTTTAGACGTTTGATGTCAGAAAGGTAGCGTTTATAAGATATCATGGTGCAACAGTTCAAGGATAGTCGTAGGCATATAGTTCCGAAACAATTTTGAAATGGCACCATAGTAAAATCAACTGCACATGATGGTAACAGTTATTTTACTATGCTTTAAATATGGAAGTTTACAGGAGCTGACTTCACACGGTGTCATAATACTACCCTGACTACGATGCAATAATATTTAGACATAGTAAAACCCTGGCAAATCAAATATCAAAATCATGCTGTAGTATGATTAACTGCACAAAATGATATACCATACTACATACATGTATATGAAAAAAAGGAGATGAGGTATGATTGCCAATGAGACAACTATCCACCAAAGTTCAAATAAAGTGGACGTAAGCAATTATAGGCAACCGTACGGCGTTCAACAATGAGATAAACTCATACCGTATAACGAACATTTTGATTTTTGATTTGAGAGATTATATGAATGAATCATTTTTAAATATCATTGAAGAAAGCTTCAACATGAACATGCATGCAATATTTGCCACTGGACGTTAAGCAACCAACAATCAATCAATCTTCAATCGGTCGCCTGTAAAAATGTGTTATTGAGGGTTATCCTTGTGGCTATGCGAGATGTGAACATCAAAGCCATATCCAGTAGGAACGTTTAGTGATAGGGCCACGCTTTCTGTACTTTACTCTTGCAACAAGTTTTTTCAGGAAACAATACGTAGTTTTTTGCAAGGCAAGTATTTCCACCAATATCAAACAAACTGTAATTTTCTGTGGATTCAATATCCACACCCTTCATCTCGGTCGACCTTATTTTATAACATATCTTTTCATTGCTAATTTGTTTTTGTCCAGAAAATGCATAAAATATTTGCATACTGAGAAACAACATTCAATCGACACAGATCTCCACATAGTGGTGTGTGTGAGAAGAACGGACAGAGGAAGTCTATTATTATTTTCCTCAATTTCGGCCTATCCTGGGGCAGTAACATTAAGATAAAAAGGTACATAACCACAACAGTCTAGCTACAATGTTTTTAAAGTTTCATAAATGATACCCATAGACAACAAAAGTATGAAAATCGAACACTGTCATGTATTTTTAGTAATTTTGTCGTGACAGTGAGTGTATCATAGGTTTTGGTGTTTGTTTGGTTTTTGGCTATGGGCGACACAACTGCCATATTTCAAAAAAAATATTTAAAGAGTGGTGAAAATATGTTTCATCAATTTTCAAGGTATTTCATTTATCATGTATATCTATTATTCAGTAGAAAAAAAATAAACAAAAGAAAAACAAATTCAAATTTTCTTTTTGTAATTATACTATGTTAAGATCACTGTGATACAATACACTGGCTGATCCAAGAATGAGGGATCGCATCCGCTCGGAAATCGTAAAATAGCTTTGGTGATTAAAGTTTTGAGCAATTCGATATTTCGATCAGATTGAAGCTAAGAAACACCCTCTTGTTTGAAAAACCATCGATATTATATATGAAAAATATCTTAATCATAATAATGATAAACAATGAAAAAATCTCAATCTTTTCTATGGAGTTTTCGAAATCCGATTCTATCTGACTATTAACAGTCACATTTTTCTTTGATAGATATAAAAAGATGTGGTATGAGTGCCAATGTGACAACTCTCCATCCAATTCACAATTTGTAAAAGTAAACCATTATAGGTCAAAATGATGTTCATAAATTTGTATAATAATTTAATCACACTTAAGTTATTTATTCAAATGCTAACATATTTCAAAGAAATTGAATTCGAAAATATGAAGGAAAATATAGGCCCTACCTTTATTAAGGGTGAAGTTACCTTGTGTTAACAATGCACCATACATATACCAAAAAGAGTCGGAGAAATGATGCAATCCTCTAACTGTATCTCTGTCTTCCATTCTTCTATAGTATGGAGTACATTTTTCGAAGAAAAACAAAAACAGTGAGGTAACTGGAAGGAAAATGAATATACACAAAATTACATATTCGCTTAAAGGGTCTATTAATGTTCTCCATTTTGTTGCATTCGGGTCAGGCTTTTTCAACAAAATAGCTGCAGAATCATAGTAATACGGAAGTGTGAAATCGACAGCATTTTCCCTGGTAATTTGAACAGTCAAAGGAGCTGCAACTAGATCTACGTCCTAAAATAAATATCAACATTTAATAACCATTTAGTTAATATACATCCCGCCATTGTGCTATGGTCAATTTTGAGTTCTTGTCTTTTCTTTTAGCTTATGTACTTTGTGTATAAGACATTTAGTGTTTTTTTGTTGAAACAGTTATGCTGTTCTCCAGTTTATGACGTTTTTACTTATTATGTCTGTTTGCTTTTCTCACATATTGTTGTCAATATAATGGAATTATATGCGACTGTCATACAAGTGAGAGGTTTAGCTAGCTATAAAACCAGGTTTAATCCACCATTTTCTACATAACGAAATGTCTGTACCAAGTCTTTCCCTTGGAGTTCGGTATTTTTGTTATTTTACTTTTAAGTTTAGTTTAATAAATATTTAAGAACATCTGAATTCAACTCATTTTCGATATTATTAGGACAAAACATAGTTTCTATGTTGTTATTTGTCTTTGTTGTAACAGTTGTTTATCTATTTACTCTTCTAATGTCTTACGTGTAACTGTGTGCTCTATATTACATTGCAGGATAATTAAAAAAAAATGAAAACACATCATCAACACCGGTGTTTCATTTGATAATGATTTTAATATTTCTACTATATAAATGAAATCTCAGTCTTCATCTTTTTCATGACTTGTAATCATCTGCAGAATGTTTAACGTTCCTCCAAAAACCACATTGCCACTTGTCAATACTGTCTAAGCGTTATTTCGTACGTCTGCGACTATATCGTACGACCTTTGTGTATTTTCGGCAATATACTTTATAATTTGAGCGAACTGATAAGAAATTAATGACACCTTGAACAGGCATTCGAACGTAGTTTTCTTACGTAAACAACAACTACCTTAAACGATTCAATATATCAAGCCGCAAAATAACTTTTTTCATAAAATAAGTAGCTTATAAGATTTTTCTGTGATATGGGGGCTTTTTATAAATTTGATATCTTTGGTGAGTATTTTTTTTATCACACGTGGAAGCAAACACGCAAATAAATATATGTTATTTATTGTATGTCATTCAACATACACGAAAGAAAGACATGGTCGCACTATTATTAGAAGTGATTATATTATTTTTTTCGGCGCTCTATTCATTGGATCTATTAGATTTCGTTTTCTTTTTAACTTACATCAGCTTGTCATGAAATTATCAGTCCTCCGTTTTACCTGAACCTCCATTAAAGAAATTGTTCCCCCCTCTCCATTTATTCTTACTCGTCTTTCAAGTTGACCTATTAAACCATTCCATGATCCATTCTCTGTCTGAGCACCCCATTTACCGTCTGGTGGTCGTGATATTTCATATCTGAAATGTATATTTTAAAATGTTTAAGAATAAAAAGATACAGTTAAAAATAATGGAATTAAGTAGTTTATCGACTTTTGAATATTGTACATCAATTGAGAATATTCAAATTATGATTACCAAAAAAAAAAACCTGAACGGTTTGCATCAACCTTACGTAGTTAAATCAGATGGGATGACTGATACACATACATCACCCGCCATACTAATCAACAGTCGGGGAAAATATGAAAAAATCGGTAAATTAACCAATCATACGACTTTTCTGGAATTTCATAATTAAAACCGCAAGAACTGGTCAGTGGCGAGTCACGACACCGACTCTTCATATCGGTCAACCAATTTCTGTTAGTGACCGTATATGTTATGTAGTGTCAATTTAGGTCGTTCGTATATATAACCCTGCTTGAGCAATTTGAAATGTCAAGAGTATTTCCCTGTTTATGAATGCAGTAATTGAACATGCACGCGCCATTCATGAAAAACTATTATGATATATGAAAACACCTTACGAA